TAATTTTCCATCTACTGGGATGAACTCTCTTCGGTGTACGCGACAACCATCTCCAAGATCTGCATCAAACCACTCGCGTCTTGGGCCAGCGTCGCCCTCTTTTCCGAACGGCTTGTTCCCTCGAGAAGAGAGATTCAGCCCGGGGGAGACGAAGAGCCGCGCTCTCGAAAATAGACCTCTCCATCCAGCAAGGAGGCAGATCATAAGTCCCTTTTCTCGACTCCCTGGTAAGGTCAACGCTCCCCTCGGGTCGAGGCCTCTTCGCCTTCAAGGAAACAGTAGATGGAAACAGAGAAATTATGGTCGGAGTCGAGGACGACCCACCCGATCCAGGAGCAGGAACTGGCCCTGCGTCGGTCTGTGCATCCTACTGGGCCTTTCTCGCCCGAGCAGCAAGTGTCTTGACCAGACGTTCTTGAGCAGGATTCATGTTTTCTGCAAAACAAACAAAAAAGAGAAGAGTCAGTAAAACAATGAGTCAAATAAACGACGACCACATACTGGAAAAAGAAAATTTATACCCAGATATCTAACTGGATCCTCGCTTCCAAGGAGCTTCCAGACGTTTATGAGACACGACTCAAATACGGGCTCCCCGTTTTTATCCAGCACTGGCCTACCTCCCCGACCGACTCGCTGGACCGGAGGAATTCAAACTACAAACGAAGGCAGAGTGGCGAAGCTCGACAGGTCCTCATCCCCAAGATCCCCCTCTCTCCAGACATAGGAGCCCAACTCCTTCTCGAAATGTTTGCTGGTCCATTGAAACAGGAATTTGGCGACCAGTGTCGCGGTAGGCTCCCCCAACTTGTTTATACGAGGAGACTCATCCCCGTTGAGCGACGACCGGCTCCTAAAAACATTCAGCAGCGCCTTCGTCGAGGTGGGTTGCACCAAGACGTACTTGTCCTTGAAGTGGCGCATGGACTCTAAGTAGGCCTTGAACAACTTCCCATTGCCCTGTTTGAGGGAGACTCATCCCCACCTTCTGTCAGTCCTGCTCCTCTGGATGTGAAAACAATAGAAAAACAACGGGATCGTGGCCCCTATCTTCAGATAGTCGCACACTATCTGGAACTCCCGCACGAACGCAATCTCGTTCAAATACAACTGGGAGGGAGCCACGTGCAGGTGCCGGAAAATAGCCACCTCAAAGTCAGAAAAAGGAAGGCGGAAACCCATCTCCCGGAAGACTATATCGTACATCGAGATCCGCCTCCTATCATATCTCGAGCAGATCTTGCTGTCCTTCCAGGGGATATACAACGACGACTCCTCCCGGGCCCTCTCCTCGTGGGTGTAAACATCGGTGAAAACGTCCTCCCCGTGCTCATAAAACTATGACCGCCACTCCCAAGGGTCTTTCGCTACCTAATCTCGAGGAGGAAACAGGCCGCCCCGAGCCAAAGAGGTCGCCCCTACGTCGGACTCTCCCATCTATTGATCCGTCTAGTTTTGCTGCTCTACGAAGATTTCCAATATGCTCGGCGAGCTACCACTAGTCTCACTCGAAGAGCTCTTGGAGGATTCTGTAGACTCGCTCGAAATGACAACCTATGCGTCGTCCTCCATAGCACCTGAAAAGCAGAGGAAAAGGATGAGCTCGACATCAATTCCAAAACCACCTTTCCACCGCTAAACAAGTGAAAGGGTGCTGGAAGGCGAGGATCGTATCCCCGACCAGAACTCTCACTGAGGTACGCTGACAGGCACAAAACGCAGGAGAAAGCCCAGAAATCCCATGAGGTATTCTAACGGGCACAAATTGCAGAAAATCTCAAACCCTAACGAATCACCTATAACACAGCGCCAGGCCCCCGAGGAAGCCCCACGGCGGCTCCAACAGTCATGCGCCACAGGAACAACGTCCACCACCTAGAGTCTCTAACGACCTCCTCCCTAACGGAACCCTAAATCCTAACGACATGCATGTCTAAGAGGCTAAAAATGAAAACACTAAGACATGCAACCATGGAGGAACGAAAACTCACCAATAAAAGAAGAAAAGACGAAGTTGAATGACCGCGAATGAAGAAACTAAGCAAATGTCGGTGGTCGGCTGTCGAACTAATATGAGCAGTTGAAGGCGAAGGAGAAAAATACTAATTGCCATGTTCCTCTCGTATTTATAGCTGAAACAGCCCGCGCGTACCAGACACACACCTTGGAAACCCCAGGGTCGTCATTATGACACCCTAGCCCTAGGCCATCATTTGTGTCACTCGACCGACACGTTTCCCAAAATACGCTATCTCTCCAAATTCAAAAGTCCTAACGGAAAACGTTTCGCCTCCCCGACAGAGAAGTATAACGGGAAAACACTCGTTTCCCCGTCCCTCGAGCAGACATCAAAGTCCTCACTCCTGTGCCCAAAAGCAACGACTTGGGGGTCTACTGTTTTAGACTGGCCCGAAAGATTGAGTGGGCCCAGTCTAAGACATCTCATAGGTGCCACCCATTAACCGTGACCTGGACTGTCCGCACCTGTCGGAAAATGTCACCCTCTTGCCCTTCTGGTCTAGCGTCGATCCAAGATGTTCGTCGAGCGTCTTCTTAGCCTTCCCGACACCAGCGTCGTACAGACCACCAGGGACCGATCAAAGAGATGCCCGCAACCAGCCTCCTCCCCGGAATCAACAGTTAGTTACGAGCACATCTGCCCGGTTTGACCAAGTCCTGGCAGTTACCTGATTTTTCGGACCCGCATATCTAGGTGGAAAATCAGGAACCAATGGCCACGCGCCAGGGACTTTATATAAACTCTCACACCTGTGAGGGCCAGATATCACATATTCACTACTATCTACCTGATATTTTGCTAGTACCTCCTTGCTCTCACTCTTACTTGATCGTTGGAGTACCTTGCAGGTACAACCCCCTCTCTCCTCAGCCCGACTGAAGATCATCCTCCGGCCATCCTCCAGGTTCTGATCAACCGCAAGATCATGATTGATATCGGAGATAGTCATAATTTCATCTCTCCGAAAGTGAAGGAATGGAAATTTGGTTTGAGAAGTTTTCTACTAGGGTGGAAGCTTGTGTCTTAGAATTAGAAGACATTGATATTGTTTTGGGAGTGAATTGACTGCAAGGATTAGGTAAGGTGAACTTTGATTGGAAAGAAAGAGCCATTAGCTTTTCTTGGAAAGATGAAGTACATAAATTGCAGGAAACTAAATTTAAGAATAAGCAACTTGAAAGGAAGATACAAATGGGAAAGACTATTATCAACCCTCTGTACAACATTATGCAGACAAAAGAGTATGCAGGAAAAGAACTGGAGGAAAACCTTATTATGCAGCCACAACTTAACATAACCACCATGAGTATTCTGCAGCCAAGAAAAGTCACAGGGTGGGAGGGAAGCAAGGAAATTATCAGTTGGGAAAAAGAAAATTAGTTTCTGAATCATTTTCTTCAAAGGTATGTATTTGATTAACTAAAGTATTTTCCCATGTGGTCATACATGAAACATCTATGCTAGTGGTGGCTCTAGCTAGTAATAGAAGTTGGCTCATATAGCATCTTGATGCCAAATTTTATTTCCTCAATGGACCTCTCGAGGAAACTGTATTTGTTAATCAACCACATTGTTTTGAGAAGAAAGGAATGGAGAAGTTGGTGTATAAATTGCATAAAGTTTTGTATGTAAAAATAAATACATCAATTTTCTTATTCACTTAGATTCAAGAAGTGCACAGTGGAGTATGATGTATGTATGGTGTATATGTGATGGATTCAAATGAATCAAACATGCTTGCCATTTGTCTATATGTTGATGACTTGCTCATAACTGAAAATCTTGCCATTGAATTTGTAAACTTCAAAAGTACTATGAAAATGAATTTGAGATGCTGACATGGGAAAGTTATCATAATTCCTCGGGCTGGAATTTGTGAACACAAGTGAAGGTATAGTACTGCATCAACATAAATATGCTCTAGAAACACTAGATAAATTTGAAATGAATGAATGCAACATAGTTACAACTCCATTTGAATCTAACCTTAAACTTGAATAACGCGTTGGTGAAGAACAGGTAGATGCCACAGTTTACAAGCAAATAGTTGGCACATTGAGATATTTGTGCAGCAGCAGACCTGACATCTACTATGGAATATGAGTCATAAGCAAGTTCATGAATAAGCCTGGAAAGTCTCATATGATGGCATCTTAGTGAATCGTGAGATATGTGAAAAGGACACTAAAATATAGTTTGTTATTTCATGCACAAGATAATGAGAAGCGGGCTGAGTTGATTGGTTATTCTGATGCAGATTGGTGCAGGCACAGAACTGATTGTAGAAGCACTTTTCGCTACTTGTTTTAATCATCTAAGAAAAAGTCAATGATAACTCTATCTTTAGGTGAAATTGAGTATATTGCAAGCACCTCTGCAGCTTGTCATTGCATATGGTTAGACATGATGCTAAAGGAATTAAAGTGTGACTTAAAGAAACCTTTGAAGCTAACTATTGACGATAAATCAGCTATCAACCTAGCCAAGAATCGAGTCTCACATGGAAGAAGCAAACATGTTGAAATTTGATTCCATTTTATTAGAGAGCAGGTAATGAATGAAAGGATCCATGTAGTGCATTATCCTAATACAGTACTACTAGCTAATGGATTCGCAAAAATCATGAAGAGGAGTAGTACTCTTCTAGATTTTTTTAGTTTAAGGAAGTTAGTTAGTTAAGTTTAGTTACTTGACTAACAAGTTATCCATATATAGAATGCAATGAATGCGATTAATCAAGTGTGTGCAATACAATTTACTTTGTAACATTCTAGAATTCTCTCCAAATATCAATTTCTTCTTTTTTTTGTCTAAACCAGTCATTCCATTACTGCTATTAGCATTGCACCCTATGAACATTGTTTTTCTGTTGCGCCAACACTGGTCAAGGTTGTATTCTTAAGAACCAACACATATAACAATAATGAAGTATGATAGATATGCATGTTAATACAAAAGGAACAACGACACAAGCCATGGATCACTCCCAACCCATCAACATTTCCCAAACTCCTTTCTCAATCTTGTTCCTTGGAAAAGATAATCCCTCCCCTTCATCAAGTAGGATTCTATAAACTTCGCACTCGCGCTCTCCAATCACGTATCTTCCAACTTCAGCCTGTTGAAACAATATTAACATCTAGTAAATCATCAGACTAAACTATAAGAAGTAACATATATCATAGTATGAGATGAGTAAATACCGAAAAGATGCAAAGTCCAAGCATTTTGAGAGCAAGAGTGATATCATGAAAAACAAGTGGCCTTCCTCTGCCAGACAATTCGACAGGGTTTGAAACCAGCAATTCTGTATCAGGACCCCTGCTCACTACCGCTACTTTGAGTGGGCAGAGTAGTTCGATCTTAAGACGAGACGATAAAGACTCTTGCTTGCTAGGATCAACTATCTTTTTGCCATCAACTTGCCTGATAAACAAGTCAATCTCACATTTTCCTCTACTTTTCTTTGAGAATCTCCCATAACATATCTGTTTACATGATAAATTGGGTTACATGCACACTAAGATAAGATGACTAATTAAGTATAGGCAAAACATATCAAACTGAAGTGTCAGTGCTACATATCAAACTCCTGATTATGTCATACACCAGAAACGCATTCAATCTAGAGTGTCAGTGCTACATATTAAACTCCTAAGTATATCAGAGACACGCATGCAATCTAAAGTGTCAGTGCTACATATCAAATGCTACATATCAAACTAAAAATTATTAGTAAAAATGTTTGATTATTTGAATTACTATACCTGAATATTGTATTCCTTCATAGTTCTCATGATGTCATAAAGAAGACCTTTGTGATCATGGCACATGATTTGAACAAGTGTGTGAGCAGGACTCAATGTATTATCCATCACAATAGAAACAGAATCTGATCTAAAAGTTCCACTTTGCAAATCAAATACATTTGTGATTACATTTGGAAGGTACAGAGATGCTTGAGAAAAACCAGTAGCTTCAGAATCAACTAATTCTGAGTCAACTGATTCAATATCAGTTGCATTGAAGACATTCTCAAAAATAGATGGATCAACCAATTCAATGTCAATTGTATTGAAAACATTCTTCAAAATAGCTGTTAACTTGTTAACTGTATCATCCCTTCTCTTCTCTGTATGCAGAAGCTCTCTGATCATATAAGATTATAAAGTAAGTCACTTAGTTTAAAACCACATTTCTTGAACTATAAAAAATTGATGAGAAATAAGTAGAAATTATAGAACCTCGTATCCGTAATGAAAAATAGATCCAACACTCTTCCATCAGGTGTAGTAGAAACCTTCACTTTCTGTATGGTGAGCTCTAGCTCACACAGAACCTCTGTCACATCTGTCTCAACATCAATATTTAACTAAAACCAATTCAGAAAACATACAAATATAATATCCCGACACCGACACCAACACTAAGAGTGGTAATAATTTGAAAATATGAATAAACCCATCGTAATCGCAAGTGTCTGTATCAGTGTCCGACACAGACACACTTTTTTTCATAGACGATGGTGCGACAGAGGTCAAGTTTGTCAAAATTACCATGTAAAAGACCTTTACGATCTTTGCAACAAAACTTCAAAAGAAAAAGATCAGGAGGCTTTGGAGAGTGCAGATGAGTAGAATAATAAGAAAATGCAAAAGCTGAAGAAAAAGGAGGGCAAGCAGCAATGAGTCTCTTCTTCAACAAACTCCATCTTGCATTTTCTTTTCCCACCACCCAAAATACTATATAGCACCATCTCCCATCAGTTGAAACATCTTCATTCCACCAAACAAAAACAAATGATAGTATCAAGAATCTGAAAGAAAATGAAAGACAAGAAAGAAAGAAAGATTGGATTACCTCCTCTGAGAATGGTGAGACCAAATAAGAGAATGACGCGACATAAATCAGAACCTAGACCGGTTTTGTCAGGACAGTTAACGGTTACGACGGTAGCTTCTTCACCTTCTTTTTCTGGTGGTGTAATAATCACAATATCATCGTGTAGTATACTCATAATGACGACAATATCGTTCTTGTGTTTTGTTACTACTGCTATGCTTTTAATCTACGTTTCTAATTTCAAATAAAATAATTAATTAGATTAAACCCTAACCTATATTTAACAACGGTTTTAACTCTAAAATCGGTTTTTACTGTGTGCTAAAAATAGTGGTGTGAGATTAAGTTTGAAATTTTCTAAGAAACCGAAAATTCTTAGTTAGAGACAACTATAACACGTAACCTACAAACAATCACAATTTTTTATTAATTAAAAAATAAATAAATAAATTTCTCTGTTATACCTTATCACAACCATCTCTGTAATTTATATACACTATCTATTTTTAAATTACTGATATTTTAGAAAATTTAAATTTTAAAATATAAAATAGACTGTCAATTTTTTTCTTTGACACATGCTAGCAATTAATTTAATTATATTCAAATTAATATTGTGTAATAATTTCTAATTTAATGTCCTTGATATGAATATGAATTTATAAAAATGATTAATATTTAATCATTGATAAAAGTATTATATCCATTCATTAATTATTATTATAATATAAGAAACCACACAATCATTTAAATATGGAATGGTAGTATTTTCTTTAATCTATAATAGTTGTTACATTTACAATAATATAAAGTTTCCAAAATAATTTGCATTCAATTGTAATTTGTAACTATTTTCAAACTTAGCAATCAAACTCTTTTTAAACTACTGATTACAATTTTTTTTTTAATTAAAAAAATCTCAATTAGTTCAAACAGCTACATATTGATTAAACCAAATATATATAATTATAATTTCCATTTTTTTGAGACATAATTTAATTTATTTATACATTAAAATTAATGTTATGTCCTTATTCCTGACTTACTTATATAACAATGATTAATATAATAATTTCACCAATGATAAGTATATTTGTAACCCATTCATTTATTAACTATATGAGTATCCGCACAATCCTTTTTTTATAATAGTACTACTAAAATTATTATTATTCAATCTTCAATTTAATAGTATTAATTAATATTTTTAAAGTCATCTAATTAATACTATAATATTGTTTGAATAAACATCTTATTTTTACTTTATAGCATAAGTACATCATGATAATCGAGTATGTTTAAATTTTTTGTTATGAGTATGATATTTTCAATTTTTTTTACAGAAGCCATGGATTGAACTCTTGATAAGTTGTTTAATAGATTCAAATTTCTTACATTTTAAATCAATCCTTTGATGGTGTGTTTAAGCTAGATAAAAACTAAATAAATTATCTTTATAAACTATCTTAGTTAAAAATAATTTATAAATATATGATAAGTTTTTTTTAATAATTTTTATAAATAATATCAAAATTTTATGTCAACCGATAAGCTAAAATACATCACTCCCAAATTATATAATAATAGTTAATCATAAACAAATTAATGAGATTAATTTGATAAAATTATTACTGTATTTCATTAGTTTTTTTTTTTTTTGTTAACATTCTTTATTCATTCATTGATAAAATGATCTATAGACAATTATAGCATATTTGGATTGACTTTTAGAAGACCAAAAATCAATTTTAAAAGTGTAGAATCGACTCTCAATAATTTTGAAGTGTTTGTTTTATCAAAAATAAAATTGATTCTACCTCCAGAATTAATTCTACTTGAAGCTAAAATGTATAACTTCTACCTTCAAAATTGATTATGAGTGATTTTTACACTGAAATTTATTGTTGATCGTATCTGATCGGAAGGGATCGTCAAGGTCCACGAGCTTTAAGTTAAGCAGCGCTTGAACGTGAAGTGGGAATACCTGCAAGATACTCTGATGTCAAAGTAAGAGTCTAGAGAATCAGAGTGCTGAGATAGAATGAGTGAATGAATGAATACATGATTCTCTCGAGTGAGAGGGTATATAACCCCAACGTTGGGTCAAGGTCTTCAGTGTTGGGTCACGATGAGGCCCAATAATGAAGACTGTCATGGTTTACAGTGTATGTCCGGCAAGTGGCCTCCTCCCTAGTCAACTGCCCCGAAAAAGTAGGGAAGTTGGATTCATTATTCTCGGAGGGCAAGATGATGAAGTTGTGGACATGTGGGTCATGCTCTTCTAGTGGACACGTGGGGAATTGCCCAACGGTCCTCAATTGGGTTGCATGCTTTTGAGCCTTCGTAAAGGCACTGGATTAGGCCTCCACAACGGTGAGAAAGTGTCAACCCAGTCCAGAACATGAGCCCCCCAAGTTATTGCCCTTAGGCGAAAGGGTGATGACTTGAGATCAGTTCGAGTGTCGGGGAAGTGTTTCCAAAGAAGGGAAACTATCAACTCCCGTCGGGGACAACTACGTGATTCATGTCCAGGAGGATCCAGAGATTTGTGTGTGCTGTGGTCGACCAGATCTTGGAGAATCTCATTGGTCAACTTCGTCCTTCGCTCGTATTAATGTGGGGCTCGTTAGGAATTTACATTGGCGGGGAGGTGAGGAGTTTCCTCGGGCGCACGTCTCTGATGTACCCATATGTGAGGCATTGTAATGATGTCGAGCGTTTGTCTGCCAATGAGAGTGGAATCGCGCATGCGCGTGATTTTGTGTGAGATTATTGTGGGCGACGTGTCCTCTCGTGAGCCCCACATGGCAGCTGTTTGGGGTGTCATCATTACATAGGGCATTCTAAGAGCTTAAGTAATGATGACTTTTCACGTGCTACCTCATTAGGTGGGGGCTATCTATAAAAGGGGAATAAGAGATTTACTTTGATATTTTCAAGCTCTCTATCCTCCTATTTCCCTTGCGTTCGTCTCCTCCAACACCGCCATAGACACCTTCACATTCATCTCATCCAAGTAAGTGACTTCATCTTGATCGTGTTTGTGATACGGTGGGAGAACTGACTATGGTTTTGCGTTTGTTTTCGCAAATGTTTCGGTTGAGCAAGAGTCGCCACCGACTTTTTATTTTATCCTAAGGAAAGGTTTAAAAAGCACAGCAAAAACCTTTGAGATTTTTCTTGGGTTCGGGGAGTAGATTATAGAAAGGGAAGGTATTAGCACCCTTTCTATCCATGGTTATCCATGAGCTCTTAGTTACTTGCTTAGATCACTTGCCTTTTGTTTTCAATTGTTTGAAATGGTGCTTGTGTGTGTGATTTTTGAAAATGTTTTGAAAAGAAGCCAATGTGGTGGCAACCTTTGTAATGATCCATGTGGGGATGTATACAAAGATGTATGTCTTTTGAAAAGGTTTTCATTTGTTTTTGAAAGTTTGTTTTGAAAGTGTTGTGAGGTGTGGTTTAAAAACAGGCAAGTGTTTTGCAAGTTTGATTCAAGTAACTAAGAGGTTGTCTACTCCTAAATTTCTCAAAGTTTATTGCTATGTTTTAACCCTTTTAATAAGTTTTGTTCCACCATTGTATTTGGTGGACAATCTTATGTTAGGATGTGAAAGGGACGGGCGCGGGTCATCGTTTAGGCCATAATTGCAACGGTGTCAAGTATCTTTGGACAATTTTCTTTAAGGGACTTGATCATTTGTTTAGGCAACATTTTGAGGGACTATGATCATTTGATTTGTTTGTTTTGCCCAAAGAGACCTAACATGCAATATGGCCCAATTATTTGAAGGCAACAAAGTGGAATACCCTAGGGGTGCAAGTGTGAGATGTGTTGTCCATTTTCATGCTTGTTTATCTTGAGATTAGGTCAAACTATTTTGTTCGTTTTATTCGCATACAAACCCTAATTCTAGCATGGTATGTTTAGAAAGCATTAAAGTGCGAAATTTAAATTCCTACACTATTACAACACAATAATATGGGGAGGGGGATACAAATGTTCAAATGGGGATTATTTAGACAAGAAATTAAACCTAGCTATTACATCATTTTCTTTGAATATTTACAATATGATTAAAGGCATAAATTAAATGAAAGATGAAATAAATATGCAAGATGTAAAAGAAATTTTTTTTATATGCATGAAAAAGTATTATTTATGTAAAAAAATAAAAAAGGTATTATTTTTAGAGTATTTTCATATTTAGGTCAAAACCCTAGTTTACAAAATAAAATGTATTATTTATTCAATATATACAATATTTATTATTTACATACAAGAATAAAATAAAAATAAATTCTAATTGTGAAAAATGTACTTTTAATGTTAAATATTAATAAAATAAAATATGTATATTTTTGGTATTTTATTCTAAGTATACTAATGTATAAGTTATTTATTTATATTATTTACAAAATATGTATTATATATACTAATTAATAATATTTAATATTTAATAAAAAAAAGGTATTTTTTCTATAAAATATTTTCAGAAAGTAGAACAAAATAAAAGTGTGTAAAAATGTATTTGCAATATTTTAGTATTTTAAACAAAACATATATATTTATTTATTTATGTACAAACTAAAAGAAAAATCAAATAAATACCTAATAAATTCAAAAATGGTGAGAAAAAATATTTTTATATTTTTAATATCATTAGAAAAAATAAATGAGTCAATTAAAAAAAGAAAAAGTAAAAAAATATTAAAAATAAACCAAATGGGCTCAGGGGGTTCAGAAGCAATTGTATGGTGCAAAAAGAAAAGTCAACACAAGCCCAGCCCATGAAGACCTTTCTTCAACCTCCAGCCTTCTGTTTGAACAAAAACACGCGCCACTTTCTTCCATTGCAAGGTCCTGATTCTTTGAGTTTTAGCAAAAACTTCCAACATCAAAACTGTTAAGCATCTTCTCACGAATTCACACATATAAAAAACATGTTTTAACTCTCAGAAATGAGAGAGAATTTCTTCTCTCCCAATTCTTAACCTAATTTTTGTTCAAAGTTCAGACCTCAAATTCTCTAAGCATACATAATATAAATGAAATCTACTTATATGGGCATGTTCAGGGCAATGATTGTGACATATTCTCTTCACAAACCTAAAGCTAACAATGCCTAATAAGAGAGATACGAATTCAAAAACTCACCTGTTCAGTTGAAGTTC